ATATAAATATTAACATTTCTCTATAATAATGTCCTAAAATTTAGGCATTGATGTTTACTATCTTTTTTAAATATGTAAATATTAAATTATTAATGGTTGTCTTAAATAATTTTAAGTCGACGTAAAATGCTTTTAATATATGTCAAAAAATCAAAACCAAAAATATTTAATGATAATACTTTCGACTTTCGGTATGATTTTTGGCAAATTACATCTGTTTCCTGCTTATTTTTATATTCTAATATGGGATATCCAGCCTCCTTAATTTCTAGAAGTTTACAATTGAGATTGTAATGCTTTGAAAGTATTACTTTAAATATTTCTTCCACATTTATAAAATGTTTTGATGAACAAAATATTAATGAAGCTTTCATTTTAATGGCATAATGACGAGTCTGTGAAATATTAAAAAATGGTAAATATATATATATTTAAAAAAACACATAATAACAATATAAATATGAATCACCTTATTTGTAATATCACACTGAGTTTCCTTTTCAAATTCTTTAAATATATCATGTTTTGTCCCTATGAGAAAATATATCGCATTCTGTTGATTTGAGTTGAAAATGTAAGAATAAGTAATCAATTGATCATCTTGTGTTTATATCACATTTTACATACTTTATTAAAACTTCTTGTTTGTTTATACCATTCTTTAATACTGTATAATGTGGATATTTGTGATAAATCAAACATAAAAAGAATAGCAACAGAATCATCACAAACATAAGAAATAAATTCAGGGCGACCTATTTTGTATAACGAAAAAAAATAATCAACGGGTCAAAATCCCGACAAACAAAATTTTGAAAAAAAAAAAGCAAAATCCCATATACTGAATCTAAACTTGTATCCTCGTAATGTAATAGTTTTTTCTATAAATTGAACGCCTTCAGAAATATTAATTGTAAAGAGTTAATTTTAAAGTTATGTAAAAATGAATAAAATACTTTGAGTCATTACCATTGGTTTGGTCATAAGATACATCAAAATCACCTTCAGTAAATTTATGCATCAAACTAGTTTTACCGATTGTAGAATCGCCAACCATCCCAACCTTAATCACAAACCTATTTTAAAGGATTGATTACATAAATAAGTAATAAATAAATATTAATTAAAAAATTACATACTCATCTCTCTCAGTATAATTAGACATTTTTAACTGGCGAAGTTAAGCAAATTTTGAAAGTTTGGCGAATATATAAAGGAAAGAGACTGCTACGGTCGATTTTTGGAATTGATTCTGTGCCAGGATCTGATTCTGTGATATTATGGATAGAATGTGCATTTGGCAAATAATATTTCATTTTTAATTAAAAATATTTACTAATTATTTATAACAAAACAAAATTACAGTCTTTGAATATGTAAAGTTAGAACAGAAAAATTTTAATGATAAGACAAAGATCAATTCATTTCTTAAAACATTAGCTTGAAGGCGGGCGTTGATAAAGAAATTCAACATAGTTTGAGTTCCAATCCGGATATATTTATCCGTAACTTTATTCATTCGCTAAGATATCCGGATAATCCTACGGGTATTCGGTTAATTATTTAGAACTCTAATTTATTCAGGTTATACGATATTATTTTCAGCCAGCATTATCATAATTTTTTAATGCCAAACAAAATTTTATTGACAACTTATCAGAATTTTATTAATTTTAAAATCTGTTCAAAAAATTAAATTCCCCGATCACTGATAAGAATATTGAACTTCAAAAAACTTTTCATAGCATAAAACTATAACTTATTCTCTATTAGATTAAGCAAAAATTATATCGCTATATTTAAAAATGAAAGAGAAGTAGCGATTTAAAAAAATGCAATTTACTATATAAATTTCGGAAAAGTTATAGGTTATAAAAAAAAAAATTCTATATTCGATATTACGATCTACATAGAATATCGTATACTCTTAATTTCTGGTTCCGAAATTATAGTCCTTATGATTATTTACATAACGCCTAAAATAATAAAACAATATGCAAAGTCTCCAAACAAACATTATACATAAATCAATATATCTTTTTAAGATAATTAGGTTTAACAATTTTTGATTGTATTGGCGGGAGCATTTTCTTCGTTGTTTACGTCCTCGGATCTAATAATAGTAGATAAGTGTGAATGAATAATTTGAGAAATAGAAAACTAACCGTATCAAAGAATGCTTACTGAACGCATAGTTACAAACA